GATATGACCCACTAAAGAAAAACAAACCAAATCCTGTAACATCCCAAAAAACGATTTTGATCACGTTTTTTTCAATATCTTTATCAGCGTAGTACTTCTTTTTGAGCTCATGCAAACTCGACTCAATTTATACTGGATGATAGCTTAGATGCTGCTCTTCAAAAATATATGGACCCTGCCTCCTTACCTTAAAATACAACAAGAATAAAAAACAAAATAAAAATGGAGCCGTTACTTATGAAACACCCTTTATATGTTTTTTTCTTTCTTTTCTTTTGTCTTAATCCATGTGATCATTTCGATTTATTTTTTTTTTCACATGGTATAGTTTTTTCTCATCTTCTATAACTCATCGTTCTACCGCACTAATCGACGATCTTGCCCTATTCTTTCCAGGTTCTTGTTTTTCTTTACTTTCAGACAAGATTCTTTTCGACAGGAAAGTAAAAAGAATCTTGTGTGAATTTCAAGATGACAAGAATCTCGTCTAATTAATCAGAAATAAAAGAATCAGGCAAGAATCATAAGAAATTCAAGATGTATTTAACATTCAGACAAGAATCTTTTTCTTTTCTTTTAAAAAGAATGTTGTCTGAAAATTATGAAAAAACAGAAACTGAAAAGAAATATAAGATATTTTTAATTTCTTAGTATTCAGGCAAGATACTTGTGATAGGAAAGAAAAAGATTCTTGCCAGCTTTCCAAGATCAACGGCACGTGATGTCGTCTTTGTATGATAGAATATATAAAGACAATGTTTGAACGTTATTTATTCATTATTAGTTCGATAGGTAGCACAATTCACTTCGAACATGTACTTTTCCTAAAGTGTTTATTTCATTCAAACGACATCTATCAACTCATTATTTCAATTGGAAGTATAGAAAAAGTTTCCATTCGATGTCGAGAAAACAATGGAATATATGATATCTTTTTTTCATTGTTTTCAGAAAAATTACACTTATTAAACACATTTCGATATTTTACTTATCAATATTTTTCTATTTTCTTTTTTTTTAGATTTTCTTTTATTATCCACAAAAGTGTTGTTTTTTTTAATGGACGAAGGAAATCTCAATTCGTTCAAACAATTGTTGTTTGATAATGCTCTTGGTAATATAGGTAATATTTATATGTACTTTATATCTTTTTGACTCGCATACTATTTTTTTTAGAGTCATCACCACATACGGATAAACAACGTCGATGGCGTGCTAAAAAAAGAATCAACATCATCGTACTCAATCATCGCCACATCGTTTACTACTTGAACAAATTGTAAATAACTAATTTGATTCGAGCTAGCTCAAAATAAAAATTTTTACACTGTTTTTTTTTAGAATGAATCACATCAATATTCATCTGATATTAATGAAAATTTTGAAAATAATGTTACTGTTGATAATCGAATATTTGATGATAATATGGTTGTTCATAATTCACCTATGGACGATACACATTCTGATGTTACATGTGCTGGTGGTACATTTAATGATGATAAACTTGTTCATGATTCACTTATGGATGATACACATGGTGATGTTTTACGTACTGGTGTTACATTTAATGATGATATACATGGTGATGTTATACGTGCTGGTGTTACATTTAATGATGATACACATGGTGATGTTACATGTGCTGGTGGTACATTTAATGATGATACATATGGTGATGTTATACGTGCTGGTGTTACATTTAATGATGATACACTTGTTCATGATTATATACTTGATGATGACGATTATAATTATAGTTTCGATTTTAATCCGAATTCGGCTCAATCAGTTGGTATGATATAGTAATTTATTGTTTTCCTTTTCGCCAAAAATTTTTTAAAAAGAGGTTGCAATTTTTTCTTTTTTTAGAAATAACTGCTGAACAAGAAGATGAACCGTTATATACTAATGCACCTGTGACATCTAAATCTTACCATAAACAAATATTAGAATTTGGAAATTCAGTTAAATTAAGTGATTCAAATATGAATAAATTATTGCAATTAATTGGAAATGCATTACCAATAGAAAATAAGTTATTAAAGTCATATAAAAAATTACTTACTGCTTTTAAAACAACATCAACGTTTAATCAAGAACTTAAATGCAAATATTGTTTAAGAATAATTGACAAAACCAATTCTTGCTCTATTATTTGCAAACAAGACAAATGTCAACGACGAATAGGTGATGTTATAGAACATGTATCTGTTAATCGTTCATATGGACAATTAATTGAAATTATCCGCCGAAATAAACATTTAATACTGGATTATCCACAAATTGCCAATAACTTATTACCATGTGATGTTATTAGCGGATCAACTTATCAAGAAAAAAGAAAAAATCTTAAATCATTAAATGGAACATATTCTGTTACCTTGATGATTCACATTGATGGTTTTCAATTAGTTCAATGGACAAAAAAGCACGCATGGTTAGTAACAGCATCTATAGCTGAAATACCACCACAACTTAGAGAGAACAAACTGAACATGTTATTGTTGTTGTTATGGTAGGTGGAATTTTTTTAAAATTTATCCATTACTTTTCTGATCTTTCGAGCATAACATCTTTGACAAGAGTAATTTTTAATAATGAATAAAGATATTATTGACAGAGAATAAGAATTAGATTTTTCTATATGTTACTCACACATTTTGTCGTTTTTGTGATAGATATGCTGCAATAAGCATTAATTTTAATATTGCTTTTTTTATCTTAGGAACAGCTCAGTAAAACCAGATGCAAATTCGTTATTAGATGAAATTTGTGATACAATAAAACAAACAGTCATTGTTGATAATATAAATTTTGCAGTTGATGTATTATTATTTAAAGCTGATTTACCAGCTCGTGCATTAGCAACAAAACATGTCAATCATAACGCATATTTCGCTTGTCTTGAATGTGACCAGGAAGGAATTTGGTATGAAGAAGGTCATACTGTTATATATCCTTATATTCCACAACAGATGAATAGTCGTTCATCATCTCATTTTGATTTTTGTGCTGAACAAGTTAATCAACAATTATCTTGTGATGATTATTATGGTATAAAAGGTGTTAGTCCATTAAGGAAAATAATGGACATTCCAAATCAAATTGATATTGATATAATGCATTTATGTTTCATCGGACATTGTAATTTCTTATTATCCAAATGGGAAAAAATGATTGTTAAACAAAGTTGGTTATCAGGTAACGATTTTTTAAAGAAAATAAAATGGCCTCACAATTTTAATGTTGAATTACAGTCATTGTCAGATAGAACATATTGGAAGGCTCACGACTATCGTTCTTTTTTTCTTTATGTTATGTTTCCATTCGTATTTTCTTTTTTTCCAGAGAATGTTTCTTCTCATTTTTCCTTGTATTTCGTATTTGTTCGTACATTATATTTCTATCATGACCTTCAGGAAGTTACTGAAGTCGAACCATTGATTAAAATGTATTGTGAACATGCGCAACATATTTATGGCAAAGCATTCTATTTATATTCATCACACGCGCATTTACATTTAGTAGAAAAAGTAATCAGCAACGGTGCATTTTGTTTTCATAATTGTTTTCCTAATGAAGGTTTTGTACGCTTTCTTCGATCTTTACGTTCAGGTAATAGATTGCTTGCTCATCAAATTTGTAGTTCCTTCGAGAAGTTTCGCTGTACAATTAAAAAGGAAACGTTGTCTATTAGTAATATCTTTCTTGATGAAAAATTAATTATTGATAATTTTCTAGATAGAGAATATATTTCGAATTATGAATCGCAATTTTTGAATTCAGTAAAAAGCATTATTACTTCAACAAATGGTCCAAGGTTGCGCTTTTCTTGTCGTGCATCTAGAGGAATTTGTGAATATCATTCCTTATCTTATAGACGACGTGGTAATACACAGAGTTTTATAGTATCATTTTACGATGATACAAATAATAAATCTTTTGGACAAATAATTTTTTTTTATGAATTATGTGGTATTTCTTACGCCTTCTTGAACGTGTACGATATTGTTGAAAATTATTTTTCTTCAAATAATTATGTAAAAAACTGGTCTTTTTCTTCTTCTGTAACTAAATTTCTCGATAAATATTACAACAAATGTAATCTTTCTAATACAAAGTTCATTTCCATTCCTTTTTCTTCAGTTCAATACAAGTGTATCGCGATACAAATACTAGATTATACGTTGTTATCTGAAATCTTTTACGATTCAGACCAGAACTAACATGATGGTGTTTATTTTTTTTTGTCTTGTAAAAAATATTATTGAAACAACTTTTCTTGTATAATTAGTATTTGATTATTTTTGTTTCAGATTTATATTATCATGTATAATTATTCTTCAGTGAACGACAATAATGATGATACACAACGACATTTATCACAAGAATATTTACATCAATCGTATCATGATTTACAACCTGTACCTTTATTACCAATTTCACAATCAACAATTGATATTAATTCTTGTAAGTTAATGTTCCCACATGTGTCATCTATGATGTATAATTCTGAAAATTTATCTTTTAAAACGAATAATATAAACGGTTTTTGTTTTAGATGATCCATTACGATCTCGTCAACATAATCCAACATTTGAAAATCATCGGTCTGCTAATGAATCATTATCTACAGTAATTCATTCAACTACAAATAATCAAAATAATTGTGCACCATCTCCTACGGTAACAGGTGAGTGTAAATGCAACTTCTTTTGAAATTGGAAAAAATGCATTTGAAGGTTCACCTGCTAAACGACGTCGAACATTTCCTGATCAATCAAATCCATCTTTAACTGCTCCACCTATTCGAAAACGATTTGATCCAACTCTTCAACGTACAGCAGCATTACTAATGGGTGAGCTCGTGCTAATAATTTATTCATCAAAAATTTATTTCCTAATTTAAAACCATAGAAAATGTTGTTGGTGGTACAACTACATCTACTGCAAGAACTACAACTGCTGGTGTAAGATCGATTTCAGAAGCATCACAAAATGGTTGTCGACATATAATTAAGATTTTTTTGCATCATTATAGATCTTATTTAAGTTTTAGGAATAAACCAAATCATCAAACCTATCGTGAAATTATGTGAAGAAACAAATCAATTAACAAAAGAAGTACTGAAAATATTAACTGAACAAACAAATTTAACACATGAATTAGTTAATTTTCCACGTGAATTGCAAAAAGCAACTCAACAATTATCACATACTGTACACATGGTAAAGACAAATATGAATTTAATTAATATTAATTATTTTTCTTATTCTATTAGCAAGCAAAAGTATTGCAAACTCGACAACAAAATGATGACGAAGATGTTTCAATAGTAAGTGGTTAAATCAGAGCTCAGAACATCCTCAATTGCATTGATTCTGTATTACAAAGGGGATACTAAATCTTAGAAAATGTGGAATATTTATTAATAGATCTTTTTTCTACTTGCAGGAATTAAATGGAATTAATGTGTCTTATGTTCAACGTGGTGCGTCATTAAATGCAACAGCTAGAGCTTTAGTACGCGCTGGATATGGCGAAATGGCATCATTTAATGACTTACGTCCAGGTGAATCTGACATTTTGTTGGGTAAGATACATTTAAAAAGTCGATCTTTTTTAATATTTGAATTTTCTTTTTTTAGGTTACTTGGCATACGTTCATGGACATCCTCCGACAACTACTTTCGCAAACAGTCAAGCAATAAAAAACTCATTACAGCAAATGAAACACGACATCAAAAAACAAACGCCGAATCAATCATCAAAAAGAAATTCAATAGCAACTCAGCAAATCCATGGTGCACACGACGATGATGAAGTTTGAAAAAATAAGTATTTTTTTTTTTTTGATAATGAAAATTTTGTTTTTTTTTGTGTTAAAAATTGAAACTGCTTATAACATGTGAAATTAAAAGTATTTTTTTGTTTTTTTTACATTTTTTTGTACATGGTGTGCGAAGTTTATAATAAAATAATATGAAAAAGAGAGCAATAAGAACCTACAAAAGGCTTTTTTTATTTGACAAGAATCAGGCAAGAAACGCAAGAAATAAGAAACAGACAAGAATCTAAGAAAAAAAGAATCAGACAAGAATTCAAGAAAAGCAAGAATAAGGCAAGAAAGTAAGAATACAAGAATCTTCCCTGAAGAAGAACTTCTTGCCTCACCAGCCAAGATTCGGTCTACACGAATCTTGTCAGAAACGCAAGATCAGTTTTTTCAG